ATCCCTCAATTTCTGTTTCTTAGAAGCACAAGTGGAGACAAAGATTGAAGCCCGAATAAAGTGCTTTGGGGTTTAATGTGCTTTGGGATAAAAAAATGAGACAGGACAAAGAAGGTGATCAAAAAGCTAACAGATAACCGTGGGTAATGGCAATTAAGGATAGTTCAGAGTCTGAACCCCGGAGTTAAACCGTCTAAGGACCGAGGGGAATGTGATATTGAAACACCAGTTTTACTAGGTATATATATATTTAAGGAAGACTTTGAGAGATGTTGATTACCTACCCGTTTGGATAGCCATACCAGTGTCAATGAAAGCCCTCAGATATACAAGTGCAAGTCCATACATTTTAAACATTTTCAGTGACAATCAATACTCTCCCTAAGTGGGATTTTGTGTGTGTGTGTGTGTGTGTGTGTGTGTGTGTGTGTGTGTTGAAGTCCAGGGCTGGACATTGTCCCTGAGCTTTTGTGCTCAAGGCTAGTGCTCTGCCACTGGGCCACTGCTTTATTTCCAGTTTTTTGGGTGGACTTTCCTGCCCTGGCTGCCATCCCCAAACCCTTACCTAATGCTATTAATGATCCATTACCATGCACAGTCAGGCAAGAGCTTTCTGACATAAAGAAAAGTATAGTAATTTTTGGTGGTCTTGTGCTTGGATTTCTTACTCTTGGTCTGAAATGAGGTTAAGTAAAAAAAAAAATTGCACAATGATCATTTACATCTTCTGTAAACTTTCAGGCTATCATGAAAGCTAAAATATGCTAGGAACAGAGCAATTTGTACCTGAAATTTGTGTTTATCTCACTAAATTTGTGTAAGACTTGAAATAATAAAGTTATTAGGAGAAAATATATGAGAAAAATCTCCAAAGAGGCACAATACTCTCTTGATATAATTTGCAAAACAGTCATCAAAAACAAAATTAGACATCCAGTGGTATCCACCATAAAGCTTCTGTCAAGAGGGAAAAAAATCAGCAGAGTGAAGGGACAACTCTATGGACTGAAAAACAATATTTGCAAATCATACATCTAATAAAGGGCTAATATTAAAAAATATATAAGGATTTCATGCAATTGAAAAGCAAGAAAAGAAAAGACTTTAAAATGAGGAATCAAGTAGGTGCTGGTGGCTCACACGTGTAATCCTAGCTACGAAGGAGGCTGAGATTTGAAGATTCTGGGAAGAAAAGTCAGTGAGACACGTATCTTCAATTAACCGCCCCAAATCCGGAAGTAGGCTTATGGCACAAGTGGTAGAGTATTAGCCTTGAATGAAAAGGCTAGGGAGCAGTGCTTAGGCTCTGAGTTTAAGTCCCAATACCGGCACACACGAAGAAATGAAAGATGATGACTGAATGACATTATCTAGCATTCCTCTCATGGACACTCCAGGCTCGCCCACAGAACTAGTAAAGACATGAGAGTTGGTGGCACAGTGGTCTGGAGTCCAGCATCATCCCATGCTGATAGCTGCAGGCAAGTGCAGATCCACGAACCCTTTGCTGCTTATTGAAATTCAATACAGGGGCTTGAAAGTGGTACAGAAAGAATTGCTGGAAGGAAATGGAGGCAGCAGGCCTGTGCGTACCATCCACCTCAGAGGATTTGCTCTGAGGCGGAAGATAGAGCTCTGAGGTGTACCTGAGCATGGGTTGGTGCAGACATGGGAGAAGGAGATACCATACATGAAGTGGGCAGTGAATGAGGTTGAGGGGGTGAAGATCCTAGATCCACAAAGCATTCACTGGAGGGTATCAGCGGATCAACTGCGAGGCTGGAAAATCCACCCATTCTAGGAGGTTAAACCTCCAGCTACGTTTACCACCTGTTGGCTCGAATTGTACAGCAACTGAGAAGGGAAAATAACAGTAATTATGGAGAACAAAAGAGAGATCTGATCTTGTCCTTTGTTTGCATTGTCGTTTCATTAATTTGTTCTTAGGTTTACATATTTATCCATTATTTGGTTTTTGTACATTTGACTTGAGTGCTTCCCTTTTCCCTCTCTTGCTTTCTCTTCAGTTCTACTTCTCCCTTTATTTGTGTGCTCATCTATTCCTTTTCCCATTGCCTTTCTTTCTCAGGGTCTTACTAAGTACACTTTTGCCCTCTATGAATTCCATCTTTTAATTACCTCTTCTATTAATCTCAGCCGCCAATTTTTCATTTGTGTCCTCTAGCAGCATATGTCTTGGATTACTCAATAGCATTATTCTCTTTATCTCCATTAGCTCCTATTTATTGTCACCCTATTAACTATCTTGCAGATAGATCACAGTCTCATCTTAGACTGGACATGTAATCCCATGGCTGATGTGCATCTTCTGTGATTGCCTCTGCAGTCATTTCCTGTTCTCTGAGTGGAATAGGCCTCTGGGCCTAATATCTTGAGAAGTGTGGTCAAATGTTTGGCAACTGAGCCACCCCCGGAGTAGAGTGACAAGAAAATTCATCATAACCAAACTACTAAATAGTTTTTTTTTAAAATTTTTTCTTGGTCGGTCGTGGGGCTTGAACTTTAGGATTGCAAGCTGTCCCTCAGCTCTTCAGCTCAAGGCAAGCACTTTACCACTTGAGCCACAGTGCCTCTTCCGGCATTATCTGTTTATGTGGTGCTGAGGAATTGAACCCAGGGCCTCATGCATGCAAAGCAAGTGCTCTACCACTGAGCCACCTTCCCAGCTCCTTTTACATGGTTTTAATGATACATTATGAGACTGATATTTGATGATTGAGGAAACTAAAACTTCCAACCAAAACCAAACAGCGGAATGATGAAAACACAAGATATGAAAGAGGAATTCAAAAGAGATACAAAAATCTACAAAAAAATCCAAACTAAGAAAATGGAAAGTTCTATAACCCCAAAGCCCTATTAAAAGTTTCTCTAATAGAATTGGAAAAAAAACTAGAGTATCAGGAGCTGAAGGAGGAAACAGGTTAGGCAAAGATAAAAGGAATGAAGGGCTTGGAATGTGGCTTAGTGGTAGAGTGCTTGCCTAGCATGCATGAAGCCCTGGGGTCTATTCCTTAGTACCACATAAACAGAAAAAGCCAGAAGCAGCACTGTGGTTCAAGTGGTAGAGTGCTAGCTTTGAGCAAAAAAGATGCCTAGAGACAATGCCCAGGCACTGAATTCAAGCCCCAGGACTGGCAAAAAACAAAACAAAACAAGAAACAAAGGAGTTAAAAGTAAATGAGGGCTTTCATGACAAGGAAGATCCTAGAAGAAAGTACACACACACACACACACACACACACACACACACACACACACACACACA